TGATATTGTTTGCGGAAAGCACATATCGTAGAATAATTTAAAGTTGTCTATAAAATATGAATATGCAATATCTGTATCATTAATGGTATACAGTTCTGAGAAAGAAAAATTCTTGATGCACATTTTAAATTTATCAATGTTTTCTTTACAATAATTTCGTTCCGTTTTATACCAGTATTTAAATTTGAAGACCTTTTTTATCGGGAGTATTATTAATTGGGCTGTATGATCTGATAAACCAAATTCCAACACTTCAGTCTTACATTGTTTTTTAAAATCATGGGCAAAGTTGTCTATACAAGTCAGACTAATTAGTCTAGTAGGCTGTTTTATAGCAAGCCTCAAGTTAAAGTTTAACAACAAACATTCGAAGTCTAGTGATACATTATTACTTTTTAAAATGTCAATATTAAAGTCCCCAGCTATTAAAATATTATTACATTTTATTTTCGTAATGAGCAAAAGAACTTTTTCAAGCTTAGTAAGAAATGTAGCCAAATTATTTGAATTCGGCACTCTATAGACACAGACTATAACTACTTTGTAATCAATTAATTCGATAGCACAACATTCAAATACATTAATTATACAATGTGTTTTAACTTCTGTAATTTCTCTCCATTTATGGTCTTTATGAACTATGATGCAAGCTCCGCCTCTTTTGCTGTTACTTCTACTAAAACAACTAGCCAATACATAGTTATTTATGTGGAGATATGTTTCAGTACCTGCCATCATAAAATGTTCCGTAATACAAAGGACATCAATATTCTTGTTTTTATCTGCAAGTTCTTCGATATTTATCATCAAGAAATCAGTTTTGTTAAACAATCCAGCTATATTTTGGTGTAATACATGTAGGTGTTTAGTTTCGAAAAAACATAGATTCAGCGGTGCTTCCATAAGTCAGCTGATTTGAGGACGATTGACTATCCACCGTGCGTATTTCGTATTGGATTATTCCATTAATAAAGTCTCGGATGTCTTGGAAGATAGTTTTCAATATTATGTTTATTGATGTATTGACAACAAATTAAAACTAAAATCACTTAAATCAAGCCAGTTTTTATTTATTGATGTTTTTTAGGTCATCGGGATTTTTTCACCAAAACCGAATATGTTGAATATCTCAGAAACTAGCCACTTTCCTGGCCTCAGGGCAAACTTTGTAGGAAAGTTGTATTATCACCTGCCGAGAGGAATACGTCGAGGAACACCCTGTATACTTTGTAATTCAACCCAAGACTCCTTGCTTCGCTGACGCTTACTTGAAAGATTTTGTTTCATGCTGATCATGAAGATTGTGTAGAATTTAAAATAAAAGCCCATGATAAAGTTCAATAATTTATGAAGTGCATAATACACAAGTTCGTTTAGCTCTTACATAAATAGGTATATACACGAATCATTTTTGAAGCTTTACATGTAAATCAAAGCAGTCTACAAATAATATCAATAATAATTGAAGGTGCATTTATCAACATGCACGCCATTTTCCTTCCGTTCGAAATGTTAATTTTCGTCCTCATTTATGAGGACAATCGCAACATACCAGTTACACTACTTCCTTGTTTGAGAATGCATGAGACACTGCAGGTTGTTGTGCTAGACTTTCGTAGCGAATTTAGTACTTTTTAAATGCATTATATTCCTTAAGTCTAAGATTTCCACATACAAAAATATTTCGCCCTAATAAATCACTATAAACACACTTTGTCTAATCACAAACATTATTCGAAAAAAATAATTAAATTAGTATTAATAGAAAATTGAAAAAGATCAGTAAAAAAATGGCGATAAGACTAAATTTCACCATCACTGAAGCTTAAAACAGTCATATCAGCTGCCAATACAGTACAAGTATTTGTCAGATATATATTACGTATGTAATACGTGGCTATAAAATAGCAAAGTTATTGCCTTTAGAACTTGTTAGCATAAGAGAAATCAGCATAAATTAATATAACTTTATTCAACCAGAATAAAGCAAACCTACGAATTATTATAAGCATGAATATTAATATAATATATCTAAATAAAATACCGCTTAACAAATACGCCATTTACTGGATAATAAATGCTTAAACATCTGCAACTAATTCGAGTTTAAATTGAGTATGTTAAAAACTAGCATCTACGGTCAGTCATTATTCACAAGTTGCATAAGAATATATTCCAAAACTTCGAATATTGAGGTCCAGTTGCATATACAAAAATAACATTATAGTCATTTTACATAACAGTAACAATTTGTTTCTAACCATTGAAGATACTTTACAAAAACATACTAAATAATATACTGAGTCTTACATCTATTTATAAAATCTTTGGCATTTTCATATGCTTAAATATAAGCAGAAAATATAACTAAAATAGTTGTGTGATGATCCAAATACAGTTAACATATTATAAAGTATCACTATGTTGTATGAAGAATGTGTTTTATGGCACTTATTGACATGCAATGACTGTAATTTTTGTTCAATATTTATTATATTAATATGGGTGCTACCTTGGAAGAACATGCTGGTATAGAAACACATTATTACTGTCGTCGAGAGCTTTCTGCATGTATAATTGTCGAATCTGTCATGGAGTTTGTCTTATTTACATAATTAAACACTTCCTCTGATGTCTCTTCTGAGGTTCAGGTCTTAATACTGCACGTACAGCTTCGTCAAACACCTGGTAACATTAACAGTGTTATTTTTAGCATAAGCTTCACATTCATGTAGGTATAATACCTATCCTTTGCTGGGCATATACAATGACAATCAAAAATTAATATAGAAAGGAATAGTGCCAAAGATATCGAATGATGGGGTAATTACAAATGTTAAACATAAACTTTAAAGAAAGAAAATTTAAGAAAGAAATGAGATTTTCTTTTATCATACCTGTTTGAGTCCACGTTGAGTCAATGCAGAGCATTCCATATATTTTACAGCTCTAATTTTGTTTGCCAACTTTTGTCCTTGTTCCCTCTTCAACGGAGACATTCCTTGTTCAGATAACAAACTGAGAGTTTCACGGTCATCCCTCAAGTCAATCTTTGTACCTGTAAAATGATTATTTTGTAAGTCAATACAATTTTGATGTAATTTGAATTATAGTACAAACAAGAGATGGGGATATTATTACAATACTACACCCAGTAATAAGTATAATTATGTACTCATTCAATTCAAATAGGAATAAGGAAACAATTTATCTTATACTATTATATTATAATGCTGAAGAATTTGTTTATAAACTCGCTAATTTCAAAAACTACTGGTCCAATTTTAATAATACTCTTTTTTAGATAGTAGATTTATCGAGGAAGGTTATAGGCTATAAAATATCACGCTACAATCAATAAGACCAGAGCAGAGTGGGTGAACCGCACGGAACTAGTTAGTAGTGTTATAGTATTGTTGCTGTAAAATAATTATGAGAGTATATTATGTACTCACCAACCAATATAATAGGTGCATCAGGACAGTGGTGCTTAATCTCAGGATACCATTTTGAAGTAACATTTTCATAAGATGACGGGCTAAAAATAGAGAAACATAAACTGAATAGTAGCACTGGGGAATATAAAAATTACTATCAAATACTATATTTCCTGATACTATATGATAAGACTTGATTGAATACATTTAGATAGTAGAAGAACAAGAGAGCATGTGTAGATTAAAGTGGGAGTAAAAACAATTTGAGTCAGAACTAGGTTTAACTAGTCTTAATCATCCAAATTATGTTGGAGCATCACTGTTATAAAACTATGATCTTTATTAACTCAATGTGAATAGCTAAGATGGCCTGATTAATGTTAATTTGTACTGTAATAATTAAGTGTTTGACAACATCTCATATCCATTGTTCTAATGTGCACATAAATTATATATAGTATTGGGCTACATACCTTGTCACACTGAAGCATATAAGGAAGACATCTGTTTGTGGATAACTTAAAGGTCTAAGTCTATCATAATCCTCCTGTCCTGCAGTATCCCACAGTCCTAAGGACACTGCTACACCATCCACAACCATTGGTGCAGAATAGTTGTCAAATCTGCAATTATAATACTCACAATTAGCTTTTTTGCAAACTTGGAACATTCTAAACACTCGCTACAACCACCCAAAGTATATTTACAATAGGTATCCAATAGGCACAAGAACAAAACTTACACTGTGGGCACATATTCCCCCGGAAAACTGTCTGTAGTGTATGATATTAACATACAAGTTTTACCAACAGTACCATCACCGACGACCACACATTTAATCGGCCTTCCTGATGACATCTATGGAAGAGAATATTATTGATAAATAAAGGCAAACCTATGACTCATTGTAAAACCGAAACGTATGTTGAAAACAATCAGTTAATATTACCGTATAAAAAGATTTTGTCACTTCCTTTCAATTATAAGTACTGTTTGAACAATAAAGATTTGAAGCACTGACAAACTATTTATAGAAGAAGCAAGTTTTTCAAAATTTTACATCGAATTAGAATAGGAAACGCATTGAAAGATGGATGGGGACATTACGGAAGGGATGCAGATTAAAAATGTAACTGAGTTGACGGATGATGCTACGTTCATTTATATGCATTTACTACAACCCGAACCACTTAGGTGTACATTAGTCTTAATTTTGTCATACCTAATTAGTAATTAAAAACTATAAGTGATTTCAGTTGTTAATTGAATACTTTTCACCAATTAATATTTGATTACCTCATTTCCAAAAGATTTTAATTTACCTATCTAGATAATAATAAAAATCACGATGCAGTGGTTCACTATTAATTAATTTAAGTTAATATTTTATGATTTGATTTAAATTAGTTTGTAACGATTCATAATTGTTAAAGTCATGTAAAATTATCAAATCAGCAAATTCTATCTATGCCCATTCCCTTGCAATGATCAATTTCTACGTACTACGTAACGTATCGTGTTATGATGTCATAACATTTTTTTTATCTATGCCAATCTATGCAGAAATAAAAACGCTGGTGTACAGATGTTGCTACTTTTTATTTTATTTATCTCATTTCCTATAAATTCTGATTGCATAGTTTTATATAATTCATTGTTCAATGTAGAAGAAGGCTAAACATCAATAAACTGAAAATGTCTAAAAATCAAGACAAAAAGGTAATTTGAAAAGTTTGACTTTGTGTTTACGACAGTGAAATAACTTTTGTACTTTGTGATAAGTGATTGATAATGTGTAATATTACTTTTCTAGATGAGTGGGTCGTGTGTGGAAACTCCAGAAGCACCTGCCTGGCTATCTAAGTTGGAAAGTCAAAGAGAAAAATTAAGTAAAGCTCGACTTGGACACGATAGCGGCGCCGGTGCTCCCTGTAACTCATGCGGTAAATAATATAACATGTTTATTTAATTATGTAGACAAGTTATACTGTCTCTTGATGTATCAGTGCTATAAAGTACTTACGATTTTCTTTAATTTTATTCTAATATACTGTGGATATCAGTAACCTGTACCCAGAAATCCAAAATTTACTTATAATCGGCATGACGTCATTAATAACAATGCAATCGTTATCATTATTCGTTATAGGTTTGTCCAAACGCTGAATAAATCATTTTTGCGCTGTGTACATGATTCCTTTTGGAAATTTATGAATGAATCTTAAATATTATTGTTATTGTTTCTAAGAAATAATGCAAATTTACAGAAGGAATTCATTATATCCTTTGTAGTTATATTAATTATTTTACAACTTAACTGATTCATCCAGTGCAGGTTTTATCTCCTTTTATAAATAACCAGCTATTGGTCATATTGTATTGTAGATATTCTAGGAAATATTACTATATTTATTGGTAATAAAACAATTCCTTAGTGAACTTATACTATAATAATGAGGAAGTATCATAAGTGACTTCTAAATTGTATCATGTTAGTTAATTCCAATTTGTATGTAAAGTTTCAATAAATACCAAAACACTTCGGAGAAGTGACTGCCTCGTTAGCCGGGTGGTCGCAAGTGTGACTGCCGGGTAAGGGGTCTCGGGTTCGATTTCCGGGTTGGGCAAAGTATTACTGGGTTCTTTTTTAAATTCTCGGTAGTAGCATGGAGTCTGGAATTGTGCCAGGTATATGGCAATAGGCTCACCCCCCTATTACATGGGACTCATAACATAAATAATGAAAAGTGGGTGTTACATTGTACAGTGGCATAATTTGCACCTCTGCCTACTCCTTCAGGGATAAAAGGCGTGATGTAATTGTAATGTTACTTCAGAGAAGTGGCTGCTATTTTGTTCCTATTGATATACATATAGGTATCTAATCATTTATAATAGTTAGATCACTTCATATAAATTGGCTATAAGATGCAAGGTGGTAACCCTAAATAAATTAGGATAAATATAGGAAGCTGATATCATACCTCTATGCATGTACACCCACATTGGGAGTATCTCAGAATTGAAAATCCACAATTGAAATGATATGAAACTTCCTGTGTTGTTTAATGGTACATTTGTAAGTGAAACCAATGCAACAAGTGAATTTATTTCTGCAAATAGCCTATTTGTTCAAGTGCAAGTTCGTACTACTACTTAATTCTAACACTTACTTACTCTTCTTTAACCCTATAAGGACTTAAGGGATAAAAAAAATATTATTATAATTGAAAAGTTAACTCGTTGAGTACCGTCATTATAGACACAATTAAAAAACAATAGGTTGCGGTCACCGGTGACCACTCGGTGTTTGTCAGTTTAAACTGTCAATGGCAAAAGAATTTTCCCACAGGTTCATTAAACCGGAAGCTTATCCAAATATTACTGCTTTGATGTCTACTAGATCCTATGTTTAATTATTTTATTCAGGACCATCATGCCCTGGTCTGGACCTGCACTTCTGGAGGAAGGTCTGCCGTTCATGTCACTGCAGTAAGGATGTTCATGATGTTCAAGATGATGACCTATCAGGCTGGGCACAGTTTGAGCTACTGGGTACTGCTAGACCTAAGAAGGCTTCAAGTGAGTGTTTATAGATTTATTGTTATTTATTTGCAATGGTTAACCCCCTGGTGGTAAGCAACGATGCAGTCTGCGCCATGGTAGGCTGGAATCCTTGAAGATATTCTGGTTTATACCCTTGTGTAAACACAGATTTAGGCAAAGAATTCGACTCCTTAGCAATTCTAATAAGAAAATAAAATAAGAATAGTTTAAAATGACTGATTGCAATATTTAGAAGTTTTCTTGCTGATAGTAGCCTATTTTTAAGGCTATTGAATGATACTATTGTTGTGTTTATGAGATGTTTTCATTTGTTTTCTGATAGGATAGTCCACTTAACAGATTATCATGTTCCTTAAGTGTCCCTTATCTTCAGGAATATTTTCTCTTTTGTGTCTGATCGAGAATTTTAATGACTTATTGACTTCATAGGTTTTCTGAAATCAGAGTATCCCATACCTAGCATAAGTGTCCTTGGGCTAAAATTATGATGACGATGTCTGAAACCAGTTTTTAAATCTACCCAATAGTGCATAGTTTATAAGTTTATTTTATTATTTCAGTGCCCCTGATTAAAATTCGTGGAGTTACTGACAAGCCTGTGAAACTAGACTGGGTGCCTCCAAATGCGTCAACTGAGTTGGTAAGAAGCAACAATTATAATAACTTAAGATACCTACTGATAATGTAATAAATAAATAATGATAATTATTACCTATTAATTTATGCAAAGTAATTGCTTCTGTTAATCACGATTGTAGAATGTTATGCTTTGTGTATAATAATAAATTATCACTTGATAAGATTTAGCTTAGGTTTCCCAGTAATTTTATTTGATACAGATTTAAATTAGTAACAGGTTATTAACTGTTTAATCTACGATATTTAAAAGTCAATGTCAATAACATGCTGATTTGTTACGATATTATGAATATAATAAAATATTTGTGACACAATAAGCCATTATTTATTTTGCACTCTGTCGAAACTTTAGAGTTGTGTTGTAGTCTCAGGGGAGCCAAGGTTGAGTACTTGGATTATTTTGATCATCTTAGAAACAATATGGAATTTAGAATACCTAACATTTGCTAATAGATTCACTATCTAGTATAAGGAGTGTAGAATAATAACATAACTGATAAAAAATAGGTTTGTACCTATGATGATGCCACATTATACCTTTATTATACCTTGCCTACCACTAATGTATTATTGCGTTAATCTATCAAATTCACATTTGCAATTAATGTTTATGCTAATTTCAACCTTATGTTCTAGGTATCAGAGTACATGTCATGTCTGGGCAACCTGGCCCCGGTGTCCGGTTCGGAGGCGGCTCGTAAACGACGTGCTCAGCTCAGGACACAGCTACCGCCGCACGATGTCGCACCCGCCGTACGACAACACGCATCCGACTTTGAGAAGTCAGAACATACTGTGAGTACTGTTTTAACGTTAAATTACACTTATATTCATATTCCTTTACAGTATAGATGTGTGTAACTGTGTGTTTTTATATCCTGAATTCCTTTTTATATCTTGAATTACCATTTCACTGTCTAGTTTGAATAGAGAATTGCGTCATTAAAATTAGGTCAGTTTGCCTCAGGCCGCCGATAACACAAGATAGCGCGCCTTACACATCCTTTAAATAGAAAATTATGTGCATAACCTAAATTACTACTAAGTATTACTTCAATTATTTTCCAGGAATACATCACGCGCATTAAGGACCATGTCGTCGGTATGGGCAATGTCGTCAGGGTAGGCCCTCTACAAAACGGCGAAATCTACTCTGTTGAGAACAGCAAAGTACATGGCGCGACTAAATCTTACGCTCTTCCTCTCAAAATATCCAACGTATCCAGGGGAGTCAAATACAACATCGTTCCTAAGAATGCGTCTGATAAGAAGTTGGTCTTAGATACACAAGGAAACGTCGTCAGCAGTGCTGCCAATCTCCCAGACTACAAATCCAGTCCCATATTGAGTCGCATCGTGAAAGACAAACTGCATATCATGCGCATCGAATCAGATAGAATTAAGAGCGCGGTAGAACATGGCCCCGTCTACGATAAACTGTTCAAAAACTTAGAGGACTTGAATATGCCTGTCACTAATGACGTGTATCTACAACCAATCAAGCTATTCAGAGAAGAGTACAACAGTAATCCTCAATTTAAAGACGAAACAACTGAGTTCTCCAGTAAGTCCCTTGGAGCTCAAATTATGCCAGACTTGTGGTCCAACAGCAACAATAATATTATGGGTACAGCCAAACTCTTGGATAGTAGAATTCAAAAAGGTACCATTTTCGCTCCAAATGGAGAGATATGGAGCTGGAAACATGAGCCAGTCACTCCTGAACACAGTGGCACTCTTTGTTCCACGAAGATCAATCCTCAGTACTCGACTGTTACCAAGCCGATAAATCAGGTGGAACCACAACAGACTGCGCCGTTAAGAGAATATCTCAGAAGTCACTCTGAAGATGACCTTCCACCTCCACCATTACCGAACTACAGCACATATCCAGGCGCTGTACCGCCAACTGCCGGAACAGATTGGAATAACCAGCCAGTTGACAATGTTCACCCTATTGGTGATAGTGCTGAATACTTACCTCTGCCGCAAAATTATGCTGAAGGTACGGATCAAGTCATTGAGCAGCTCGCAGATTTATCGCTCAGTCCAGCTGAAGTAGAATTTAACAGGAAGCTTTACAATGAAGGAGTGCCTTGCCAACGTTGTAATAAGTCGATGTTCGCTGGCGAAGTTGCAGTCAAAGCGGAGAGGGCAGGTCATGAAGCCATTTGGCATCCACAATGTTTCACATGCAGCAAATGTAACGAGTTGCTGGCTGACCTTGTATACTTCTTCTACAAAGGTGAGATTTATTGCGCCAGAGATTTGGCTGATGTTTTGGAAATCCCGCGTTGCGCCGGATGCGACGAGCTGATATTCACGCGTCCGTATACAGCGGCGGAAGGAAGGGCGTTCCATGTGCAACATTTCTGTTGCTATCACTGCGATGCCCCGCTCGGTGGTAAAAAGTACGTCCCCGATGATAAGACTGGGCTTCCGATATGTTTACAATGTTACGATCAGTTTTACGCTGAACGTTGTCGCGCCTGCAGTGGAGTTATAGGGCCTGAGCAGCAAGGTGTGTCCTGGGGCAACATGCACTGGCACGCCGACTGCTTCATGTGTTCCGGTCGGATGTGCGGTAAAAGCTTACTGAGCGGACGATTCGTCGTCAAACAGGAAATGCCGTTTTGTAGCGTGGCATGTGTTCAGAGCAGAATTAAGTAAAGAGAAAATAATACGTCAGGAAGACTGTTGTGGTAGCAAGTAATAAATTAAATTGTATTTTTATAAATGCCATTATAATATGTAATATTTTTATATGACATATTTTTGATAAGTACACTACTAGTTAAGAGTCTATAAGAGTAAGAAAAAATGTAAGGTACTAATGCATTATTAGTCTCTCTACTCAATATGGAGTAATAGAAATTTCCAAAAGACTTTATATGGTCGCAATATATAGTGACTTGTACATCGAAGTTCCTTGATTTCGGGACCAATTTAAGTAGAAGATTATAGATAGTTTCGTTTAAGCATTCCAGTTGCTTATTTACAGTGTGTTGCTATTTTTATCTTAAGTTTTATTTTGAGATATTTAAAATACTTATAATTTAAGACAACATGTATTTTCATAAATAATTTATTTTCATGTTATTTCATCGAGTTAAAAAGTTTTTGGAGTATTTTTTAGAAGTTAAAACTGAGTGTAAGGTAGTCCAATAAATGTGATAGAGGTAAACAAAAATGTTTGGTCCATGGTAAATACAAAACATATATTTTTAGAGTATAAACATTATGAAGGTAGAAATATATTTATATTTAGTATTTTATTGGGTGCAACAGGAATAAAGTGCCATCGGTATTATTTTTGGATGATATACATAATAAAGTCTTTACAACACTTTGAGTTTTAATTCAATACACCTTAACACTTCTGTCTTATTTTTTGGAACAGGAGGCAAACAAGCAGACAGATCACCTGATGGTAAGCGATCAGCGCAAGTCTTGTTGATCATCAGCACTATTATCAACCAGTGAATGTTTGGTACAATTCCTGAATTAGACGAAGTATTAAATTTTATTGGACTTTTAAAATTATTTGTTTCTCTAACATCATAAGAGATCTGAGCTGTAAAATCCATGATCGCATGGGATTTAAAATTTCACCTTTTCATTACAGTTTTCCACATAGTCATTTCAAACACACTACTATGTACTAATATGCATTAGATTTTAATTTATTATAGAAAGTAACACAACTGACTGAGGTAGTGAAATTATTCTCCTATTCCTACATCCAATGATAACTTTTGACTGGTAGTAGAATTTACCTTATCTCAACATCCACGAACTTCCTGCATCATGTTTCATTACTTTTATGGTCAGATGTCCCTGTTTATCACGGATTTGGTGATAGGCATAATAATTATGGTTCATAACTCAACTTATACTAACTAGTACTGCTACCCAATAATTAAAACAGCTAATATGTTGTTAAAAGTATAATTAATTACATACACATAATGCAAAAGTAAATATTAATTGCAAACTGAAGCGTTATCCTGGTGTTAGAAGAACTTTTCTCAAGCCTTAGCTTTTATTTTATTAAGATTGGTCTTAAGTTTTGTTAAGTTTTCTTGTAAGGCTTCTTGCTTGTTTTCTAAAGCGGATATATGGTCGTCTGCTCTTTTAATCTCTTTACTAATGTACTCCATTCGTTTCGTTACATTTTGAGTAGCCTCTTCTAAATCTTGCTTCACTAAAACGGGTCCAATCAATTTATATACCTCAGCATCTTTCTTTAACAGCAGTAATTCCTCTTTTACAGCCTTGTTTTCATTTAACTGGCTATCTAATTGTTGCTTCTGGGCGACCGCCTTACGGAACTCTTTCTGTATACTACCCAAAACTTCCAATTCTTTCTGCATCTTTTTTTGGATTTCTTCAGCCATTGCGATGGAAATTTTAATTTAGTGCGCAGTAAATAGACAAAATTTTCTTTATTATTCTTATAATACTGTTTTTCCAAATCACGATTGCTTCACAGAATTTTAGTGGAGGAAATTGAGGTTATGTTTTTGACAGTGACAGCTACGGATTACAGATAACACAAAAAGTACTTACTTTTGCGTTTATTTATTCAAAATTTTTAGAAACAGTAGCAACACAACATTAAATTAAAAAACCAAAAAAATAAAATCGTTATAAAATTTTTCATTTATAGCTGTCTTAATTTGTCAGAGTAAATACTAAAATTGTATTCTTATATAGAAAAGCTTTACCTTTATACTACATAAGTACAAAGGTTATATAATATAAAGGGTAGTATAAGTAACGCCGTAGGACTAGGCTGACGTGGCGCCATAGGTAGTACATATGTACGCTTTTCTATCTAATAATAGTAAGAGACCCGTATAGAAACGAATCACGTTTACAACACGCAGGGCGACGGCTATAATAAATAGAAACAACAGCAGTGTATTTAAATATTTTATTTAGAATTAGCTTCATATAAATTATTTACTACTTAATGTATACCTACTGTATATTACAGCATTTTTTACATGAGATCCTAATTATTTATAGCTACATAATAACAATTCAAGCAAGTTCATTGTCTTGTCCTGTACCCTTGGTTTTAGGTCACAGTCAAAATTAGCTGAATGGACTATGAAACACTCAATTTACACCATAGATGTAATAATAATGATTTAGTCTGAAAGCAAGATGTAATTTTTTGAAACATTGTAGAAATATAACATCAATTAAGCGCGTGAGTAAGAAATTAACGTACCTACCAATAGATATTGTGCGTAGAAGCTTTACTAAATGCGATTTTTTTTCTAATAATTTATGTAGGCATTTATAACACTAACTTAAACCTATCAGCCTATCACAGTCGAGCCTGTCTAGTAATATATGATGTTTTCTTATGCATTATTGTTGTACATTACTTCAAAAAAAAAAATGGTTTATTTATTTATGCGAATCTTATGATCTGGCATCTCAAAACCATGTGTTTAAATTTTACTCTACAACTTTTCACCATACTCTAAGGTCCACATATAACCTGCATTTGGATCTCCGCTCTTTTTAGCTTGTTCATCTATATCTGCAGTCTTTTTAAGAATTTGTTTAATAGTTTTGTATAAATCTGGGTTTAGTGGTGCTGCCTGTTGTAATTTTTCAGACCTTTTTTCAAAAGTGCCTCGTTTTCCAAACCTTTCCCGTACGAATTTTTCATACAAGTCTTCATTTTCTTCTCCTTCGTCACTTGCTTCTTCTTCTTCGTCAGCATTTTTATTTTTATAATTTTGTTTTCTCTTACTGTTGTCATAGTATCCATAATATCCAGTGTCAGGTGCGTGATCATCATCGTCATCACTTTCATCGTCTGAATTGCGATGGTCATTTTTATCTTTACGTTCACGTGTTTCTTCTTTGTCATTCTGATTATAATAATAACTTGGTTTATAACTTGGCACATCTGCTTTAGTTTGCTTTTTATAGTCGTCATCACTGTACGGAGAATTTTGTCTCGAGTAAGATAAAATATCATCTGGCAATTTTATTTCAGGTAGTTTTATGGCCAAATCATCAAACTTAATATTTAAATGTTCGTCATATTTGACATCTTCAGGTGCAAAAGCATCTAGAGTTCCTTCCTTTTGTGGTATTTCTGGGTCTTCTTTAGGGGATTCAGAGACTGGATGTTCCTTCTTCTCGTTTTTCTGAGCGTGGTTATAATTTAAGGGGATCCGTTCAAATTCTTGTTTTACATCTCCATCTTGGGCTTTCTGTTCGATTAATTTATCGCTTTGACTATCATCATTTTCAGGTTCCTTTACTCCTAATATTGATTCTAAACTTTCCACTTCTTCACTTACATTCGATTTTTTACTTTCTTCACTTGAATCGTTGTCATTTTCAGGATTAATTTCAACAACAGGTTTAACTTCAACATCGTCAATTTGAATAAGTTTGTTGTCATTCTTATTGATTTTTGGTTTTGCAATAGCAGTGTAATCTGTTATAGAATTCAAAGATCTATGACCTTTGCTTTCGAAGTTTGGTGTAGCTGTTGTAAGTGGCAATATTTCTACAGCAGTTTTTGGATTGGCTGGTTCAAAGGTATCTTTTTGTGGTTGAACTTTTCCACTACCATCTACTTGTATTCGTTCATAACTAAAATCACTTAAGTCAATATCTCGTAAGGGAATGGGTGAACCTTTTACATTATCCTTTTTATCAGCATTTAAATTTTCGTCTTCTTTTTTGATCTCCCTACTTTCGTCACTGTTTTCATTTGAAGAGGATTCTAAATATTTAGGTGCACTGGATTCAGGTTTCTTGTATTTTGCATTATCTTGATGTGGAGTTTCATATGATGAGCTATCATGATTATGTTGCTCGTTTTTCTTCTTATTACTATCGCCTCTTTCTACACTCTCCTGACTTTCAGCGCTACTTGATTCCGAATTTTTACTTTCATTGCTTCCGGAGTTCTCATTACTGTTTTTGCTTCGGGAAGAATATCTTGCATTAGTCCTAGGATTGCTTTCAGAACTTTCAGCACTACTATTGTCTTCACCGCTATCTCCGCGCTTGTTACTAAATTCATTTTGTTTATAGTGGGCACGTCCATTACTTTCCTCTCTCTCTCGGTTAGACGGAATGTCTTTATAAGTACTTCGTTCCTCGCTATTGTCTCCTTCGGCACTAGATTGTTTATTTTTATACTCTTCGTGCTCAGAACTATTGTCAGATTCTTGGCTAGAATTTTTATCGTAATTTGTGCGTTCAGCGCTATAGGTTCTCTCACTATCAGTTTTTGGTTCTTTATAATCGTCGCTTTCAGCGCTCTCTTGGCTTCCTTGAGGATTTTGTTTTTGGTAGTCATCACGTTCTGTACTATTTACGTCATCATTTTGAGGTTGTCTGTTCTTATAATCACCTCTTTCATCACTACTATCACTACTATCATCACTGGAGTCATTTTCAATAGGTTTTCCTTTATCATCATTTTGTTTATAATCGTTTCCTAGTCTATTGGGGTTTACTATTTCAGCTGAATCTATTTTTAGTTTACGTGCTATATCTTCCTCTTTCTTTGCGTCAATATTATCATGAAGGGTTTCAATTTTAAAGTTAGCACCTAAAGCATTGTTTCCTGTAAATCTTAGAGGCGCCAAAGATTGAGCTTGTCCAGGTCCATGTGATGTTTCGTAATTCACCACTACAGGTTTTTGAAATTTGCTGGGAAGTGGGCTTCTGTTATGTACTTCAACAGGGGATCGTTTTCGTCGTAAGCTGTTTTTGAAATAAGCTTTATCTTTTATGGGTATTTCGGCTTTATCTCCCTTTTTATATACATATTTTAATATGGTGTCGGTATTAACCCCTTGAGTTTCATTCGATTTACTTTGTGGTGCGATTATACTTTCACAATCAGTACTGTTGCTACTGTTATTATTAGAACAGTGGTTAATTTGTGCTTGTAAAGAAATAAGGGCGCAATTTTGTACTTCCTTATCTGTGCTATTTGTGGTTAAGTTACATTTTTCTGTTTTTATTTGATCGTGACTCGTGCTATTAGTTTCAAAAATAGTTGCGTTCGTCATCTGAGGAGAGAAATTCATATAATCGATTAATATTTTCTTAGTAATTGTAATAGTCAAACAAGATACAGTCATATAAGAAAGTGCATCGATTACAATAGCGTCTACTTACCGTTTCGCTTGAGCATCTAAAGTGTCTTAGTACTTACAAGTATCCATTACAAAACAAGGGTGGTGTTCAATAAAACCAGTGCTTATAATGCTAACATTTATTACAACATACTTGTATTTACACAAATCTACGTACTTCTACTTAACCATGCATCATTACAAATTATACAATAACTTGAACTAAAAATAAATAAAAAAATAACAAAACTGTTCAGGTAGGTACATACATTTACAGTAGGTGCATAGAGATATAGGGTATTGACATTCATTATAATATTCAGAAAGATTTCAATAGTATAAATTATCTCGGATGAAGATTTATTGATTAGGATCATTTATTTGCCATTTATCTGATCAGCGATAAAGCGAATAAGTAGTATAAAAACAACATTAATATGAGCGCCAGCATATTGAACCTAAGATTATTTGCACCCTTAGAGGCAGAGGCGCTAGTGTAGTTTTAAGTCTACGCAAATAAATTACTTGGCAAAGTTATTTATTAGGGAGTAACTTTTATCGCGATCTGATTTATTTTTATAGATAAAGTGATCAGACTGTTTGGCACCCATTAGTGGACTCATCAATGAAAACGCTTGTTAGAACTACATAAAAAGGATAACTAATGGACAAACAAACATTTCAAATACTACTAAGCATGCATAAAGTATCTACTTTCATACTATTAGGCTGTATCACTTACTAACTACGGTGTAATTTTCATGAGTAGGTACTGGAAGGGTGATAATATGATTTTTGTATAAATATGAAACAAACTTCTAATACTACAGGTGCATAATAACTATAACATAAACCGTGATAGGTATTTTCAATCGTAAGTAAACTTAATTATATGGCAATAAAAAGCATATTAGCTTCGACTAAGCCATAATTCGTTTTTGTACAAAGATCTTATTCTATTTATAAATAGCTTTTTACTAACTCTAACATGCTTGATCGATTCATTGCACTTTGATGTGATTTTGGCACATTTGACGTAAGTAAACCATTTATTAGAATGGTGGCCGCCAAATGCAATAACATTACATTTAAGTTGACTTGAAAGTACATCCCGATAGATTGAGTGAGACAACTTTTATTTTATCAGACATTTTTACATTGGCAGTTGTCTAACCGAAGCTATCGTTGTGCTCCGTGCATATTCTACGTTGGTACAATACACTATAACCATCTAAGATATAGTATAACTTAGACCTCTACATGACATAGGTACAGCAACGACCGAAACGTGAGAACAATACAAAAAATGGTCCGTTACAGTTCAAGCTAAGTAATCTTTACAACATAATCTTGGGTGTGAATATAACAAGCCAAATAAATTATTGATCCGTTCAATATATTTTTTCAATAGCCTTTGTACTTTCGTCTAGATTTAATAGGGATATAAAGGTAGGTAGTCTTTTATCAAAGGTTACTTGGCTTGAACAACGTAGAGCTACACAGTTGACTATAACATTACACTAGGTGAGTATTCTACTTCTAAAGTGCTTGCGACTACTTCTTGCCCAGGTATGGGTCATATGAGAAGCTACTCACGAATTGTTTTGCGGCACCGTGGAAGGGCGACGGCGCGGGCTCAGCCCATTTACTGAAGTCCATCATGGGAATGATACCACTTCTGCAGGGTACACGAGGGTTCCTGTAAAATGGAAAACAGTAATTATTGTATCAATACATAGTATAAAACAAAGTCGCTTTCGCTGTATGTCCGTATGTATGCTTAGATCTTTAAAACTACGCAACGGATTTTGATGCGGTTTTTTTTAATAGATAGAGTGATTCTTAAGGAAGGTTTATATGTATAATACATGCATATTGCACCCGTGCGAAGCCGGGGCGGGTCGCTAGTCTACTATAAACGTGTTTTCTTGTCATAAAAAGGATAATATAAAAGTACGTACAATTCATGGTCAGGCAAGACCATAGGGTAGAGTTGGACCGTGTCAATGATGTCTGTGTTGTCACAAATGATACGCGCCATTCGCGCTTTCCTGATCTCCTTCAGTTGTTCTGGTGTGAACGATGATGGCTGGTTGGGAAGTTCGTACCTGCGATAGAAGATATTAATGTAAAAACATTCCAGAGCATGAAGAAGATAAGTAACTTCACAAATTAAGTTAAACTCACCAGAATCTGTCACCACGTCTTGAGTATGAGAACTGAGTAGCAATAATGCAAGCAAATGTGGGCCCCAACATAGAACCGGGCAGAGGACGCTCAGACACACCACCAGACCAGAGATCCACATCAATAGGATGGTCGAAGATTGTCTCGTATTTCTGAACAGTGGCGTTAGGCATAGAACCGAACAGATCCTGGAAGGTATCGGCAGGAGGGAGACCGCAGAACTTTCTGAACTCCATGTATCCGGGAATACCGAATTCACGACCTCTCTGCATGTTGAATGACACCAAGTCCATTCCGAAACGAGCGCCAACCTTCTTAAAGAGATGGTTTGTAACTTCTTGTGTGATGGAATCGTCCATAGCTTGGGCTACCTGGTTCATGAGACCCATAACGTATTCGTCGAGGACACCAGCTCTGTACAGATCGTATGGTCTACGAATGAGGTCGGACAATCTCTTTGATGCTGTAAAGATAAAAATAAAACAGTGGTCAAAGATATGCCTCATGTCAGGCTTTTATAAAGTAGATAGTAACATAAAGTTGAAGGTCTAATCTAACATTTAATAAAAATCCGCGAACAGGTAATAACTAAGAAAACCTTACGTACCAATGAATTTATGTGCTTTGGACCATCTTTCAACAGCCGTTGGTAGCAAAGAGTGTCCGAATCGGTAAGCAGCTGAGGCGAACGATGCGATGACGTCAGGGTTCACTTCTGGATCGTATCCGTCCCAGTAACCCTGAAACAAATCAGTCATTTGCAACTGTTAAGTAGAGCATCGCGAGGTGACACAAGTTCAATTATCTAGCTGTGAAATGGTTACATAATTCATTTCGATGTCGTTTGATAGATTCTTTTCAAATTACGAGGAAATCTTACTAAGACAATTTAGAAATCGGATTTAATGAAAAATGTGAACGATATTGTGATTTCTTGATTCTTTCTAAATTTCGATATTCTTACCTCTTTCTCAACGACTAAGCCGAACTTGTCCATAACGTCCTTTCCGAGGAGGATGGGTAAGAATTCATTGTAAGTGATATGTTGTATTTCAGCAATGTTGATACGTCTGGCTTCTTGGAAGAGTGTCTCATCGTCCCAGTGGGGGTTGACCTCAGCAAGGCCGTTGGCTACTCTGTTATGTTCACGTGCCATAAGAGTGTGCATGACCGTCAGTACTAACTGTTCATTTACTCGAATTTCACCTATAAAAGAGAAAAATAAAATGTGAAAATAAAACCAGTCGTCTTAATTTGCTCATATTTTGATATAACACGGCCTCACAGAAAACAGATGTGAAACCATACTTGCGTTGTGATTCGTCGTGTGAGTGAGGTTACCGGAGGTCCAATTACCACCCTCCCCAATCTCCCTCATCCTCGAATCTCCAATAATCCTCAAATTCCTAATTCCCAAAAGGTGGGTAACGCACTTGTAACATCTCTGGTGTTTCGGGCTTCCACAGGTGGCACCGGTTGCCTGCCATCAGGTGATCCGGAAGCTCGTTTACGGGGTTATTTCATAAAAAAAATTGTTGCAGTTTTGGTCCTTGGGCACCCAGAAATAGCTAATTATAACTAGAATTGTTAAGGTTTTGACTGCCAATAGAAAACTTTTGAAGGAAAATCCTCAGCTAACTTCAGACACCGGTGACCTCCATGGCGTTTAATGTGTTAAAGCAGGTATTGCGCTATTAACGAAGAAGTATTGTTCTAAATAATGCTTACCGGCTTCGAAGCAGTACATGTTCTTGTTGGGTCTGGTGCAACCTTCATCAGGGATGTCAAGTTTGAGTGGCAACAAGTCCTTAAGTCCGTACTCTTTGAACACTGGGTTCATGCGCAGAAGTCCTCCAAAACCAGTTCGCAGTTTTCTGTTAAAGACAAGAATATATTAAAGAAAAGCATAATACCTTTTTTTTGATCCTAGGAATCATGTATTTAAGGTAACCCAACCAGGAACAAAAGTAGTTAGGTACATTTACAAATTGGAAAAGTGGGAGATAATGTTCTGCTTAGAGACTCTAACCAGAATATTATTTTAGACTCTAGGCTGAAGGCTAAAGGTCTTTTTTATGTGCAGTAAAAATATATTACCTGGCGAATTTCTCAGTTACACCGTAAACTGTGTTTCCATCTATAGTTCCGGTTAAAGTGTTGAATGGAACTCTTGAACCTAGAAAACAGAAACAATTAGTAGATACATTACTTTCATCAAATATAGAATGTATTTTTAATTATATAGCACGTTAACAAGACCCGATACATCATAAAGAAGTGGTCAATTTTTGGTCAGTCCACGAATCATTTGGCACATAAAATAACATAACATAACATAACATTACATCACGCCTTTTAATCCCCGAAGGGGAAGGCAGAGGTGCACATTATACCATTGTACTATTTAACACCCACTTTTCACTATTTATGTTATGCGTCCCATGTAATAAGGAGTGATCCTATTGCCACATACAGGGCGCAATTCCAGACTCCGTGCTACTACTGAGATTTTTTTAAATACCCAGTAGTACTTTGCTCGACCCGGGAATCCAACCCGAGACCCCTTGCCCGGCAGTCGTACTTGCGACCACTCGGCCAACGAGGCAGCACGTAAAATTGTATTATTTTAATCCCACATACGACAACTTAAATTGGAAAGCTATTGCACGCTTTGGATTCCTGTATTGTAACATGTGACCATTTAATCGGGCTAAAATCCTATCACCTAAGTCACCCCATACCAGGGT